TGATATCTTCAAGTGGAATTTTAGAGTCAAAGAATAGACCCTTTAAATCCATTTAAATTGCTATTTTCAAAAGAGTAATCAATGTTATAAAATGTTCTGTGATTAAGAATAAGCAGATATATTAAACAAAAATAGAAAAACTTGGATCCACTTTATGAGAATAGATTCTGATGTTAAGCCAGTGTTTAACTTTTTAAAAAATAGACTTTATTGCTTTAAAGCAGTTTTAGGTTTGCAGCAAAATTCAGAGGAAATTACAGGGATCTTCCATATAACCCCTGCTCTCACACTTGCGTAGCCTCCCCCATTGTGAACATCCTTCACCAGAGTAGTCCGTTTGTTACAGTTAATGAACCTGCATTGACACACCATAATCACCCAGAGTCCATAGTTTGCATTAGGGGTTACTCTTGGTGTTGTATGTTCTGTGGATTCGGTGCATAATGATATGTGTCTACAATTATATCTCATACAGAGTAGTTTTGCTGCCTTAAAAATCCTCTCTGCTCCACCTATTCATCCTCCCTCCCCTCAACCCTTGACAACCACTGATCTTTTTGTTGTCTCCATAGTTTTGCCTTCTCCAGAATGTCACATAATCGGAGTCATATAGCATGTAGCCTTTCCAGATTGGCTTCTTTCACTTAGTAATATCTATTTAAGTTTACTCCGCATATTTTCAGGGCTTGATAGCTCATTTCTTTCGAATGCTGAATAATATTCCATTATAAGAATGAACTGCAGTTTATCTTTTGTCTACTGAAAGACATCTTGGTTGCTTCCAAGCTTTGGAAATTATAAATAAAGCTGCTAAAAACATCTGTGTGCAGGTTTTTCTGTGACACAAGTTTAAACTCCTTTGAGTAAATATCAGGGAGTGAGATCAGTGGATCATATGATTAGAGTATGTTTAGTTTTGTAAGGAACTGTCAAACTGTCTTCTAAAGTGACTACTAATTTGCATTCCCACTAGCAATGAATGAAAGTTCCTGTGGCTTCACATCCTCACTCAACAGCATTTGGTGTTGTCAGTGTTCTGGATCTGGGTCATTCTAATAGCTGAATAATGATATATATTATTATTATTATTATTATTATATTATTATATATAACAATGATATATTATTGTTATCTTAATTTGCATTTTCCTGACAACATATAATGTACAGCATCTTTTCATATACCTGTTTGTCATCATATATCTTCTTTGGTGAAATGTCTGTTTAGATCTTTGGTTCGTTTTTTAAATTGGATTGTTTATTTTGTTATTGTTGAGTTTTAAGAGTTCTTAATATACTTTGGATAACAGTCCTTTATCAGGTATGTCTTCTGCAAATATTTTCTCCTAACCTGTGGTTTGTCTTCTCATTCTCTTCAGTGTTTTAACTTTATAAAATAAATTTTCGCTTACTTGAAATCAGACAAGAAAAGCCTATTAGAGGTTGAAAGAGAAATATAATACATAGCCTTTTAGGATATTAACATTGAATGTAGTAGAAATGTTAGGAGATATAGACTGGCCTAAGCTTTTGCTACCTTCTTGGGTCATTTAAATACTTTTTCTATAGTGGCATGAAGTGGTTTTCTTCTAGTTGCAAAAGAATTGCAATATGAGAACATGGATTTAGTTTGAGAATACCAAATTTGTGAGACCTGAGGTGATTTAATCCTTGGCAGAATGCGCTCAGCTTCTCATTTAAGAAAAACAATTAAAACAAACTGGAGGTGTTCATGCTTCTATCTGCTGGATTTAGAAGTTTCCCTATGGGAGAAAGTTATGCTTTAATGAAGAATTAGTTTAAGCTGGGTGGATTAAGTTGCTAAAATTCATTTCCATAGTAATTTAGCAAGGGAAAAAATTAAGATGTTGGCCACAGTTGCTATTAATTTGGCCTGAGCTGCAGATCCATGTGAACACCTCTGGGAAGAATAACACTCGTTTCAATGGATAATTTAGCCATTAAATGCCGAACTTGCACATAGCGTGTCCTCTAAATAATAAGTGCTTTTGCTTAGGAGTTACATTTTAGTGTAAATGAACTGATCCCATAATTCACTTTAAGTGTTCAATGACTTTATATTATTGTCTCCAACTTAGTTGTACTGTACCTCCTCTGTTTTAAGAAACAGTCTAAGTTTTAAGGGGAACACAAGTTTGAATAACATGATTCCTGGCCTTAAAGAGTTTTACATATGAATAGAAGAAAAATGAATATGTGAAACTTCTTATGACCAGAAAAAATAGTCAGTTTTTACCACTTTTACAATTTTTTACCACTTCCTAATGTTGCACAATTTAATTTCTAAACAGTGTCATTTAACTTAGAGGAACTGTGATGGTTAATTTTATGTGTCAAGTTGAATAGAGTGTGGGGTGCCCAGATATTTGGTTGATATAGTTTGACTGTGTCCCCACCCAGATCTCATTTTGAATGGTAACTCCCACAATTCCACTTGTCATGGGAGGAACTCAGTAGGAGGTGATTGAATTATGGGGGTGGGTCTTTCCCGTGCTGTTCTTATGATAGTGAATGATTCTCACGAGATCTGATGGTTTTAAAAAAAGGAATTTCCCTGCACAAGCTCTTTTCTCTTGTCTGCTGCCATGTGAGATGTGCCTTTCACCTTCTGCCATGATTGTGAGACTTCTCCAGCCACGTGGAACTGTAAGTCCAATAAACCTCTTTCTTTTGTAAATTGCCATTTTGGGTATGTCTTTATCAGCAGCATGAAGACAGACTAATATATTGGTTGAACATTATTTCTGGGTTTAGTTTGTGATGAGGTGTTTCCAGATGAGGTTGACATTTGAATCAGTAGACTGAGTAAGGCAGATTGTTCTCCCCAGTGTGGGTGGGCCTCATCAAATCCCTTGAGGGCCTGAACAGAACAAAACGATAGCAGAAGGGAGAATTTGTTCCCTCTGCCCTACTGTTGAGCTGTGACGTCGGTCTTCTTCTACCCTCAGACTAGAACTTACACCATTGGCACTCCTGGTTCTCAGACCTTTAGACTCAGATTGAACTTCACCACTATCTTTCCTGGGTGCTCAGCTTGCAGATGGAAGATCTTGGGACTTTTCAGCCTCCATAATTGCATAAGCCAATTTCTTAGAATAAATCTTGATTATCCATCTATCCATCCATCCATCCATCCATCTCCTAGTGGTTCTATTTCTCTAAAGAACCCTTACTAATATAGAAATGGAAGCACTTCAATTTAAAGGATTATTTATTTAAAAAGAGACATTCAGAAGAAAAGGCAGTCTTGATATTAACACAATCTCAAGTTGCTGACAAGAATGGCAAATGTTTACTATTTCTTACCCCCATGTGTATAATTTCATCTGAGGATGTGAAATTGGGCAATGAAAGATCACTCAGATTGTATTAGCAGCACGTGCCAGGTCAATTTAGTTGAACATGCATAAGTCTAGATTGTCAGTAATAACCATGTCAGGGAAGAACTGTTGGAAAAACAAATAATCTTGTTGAGAGTTTTAAATAGTATTTAATGATTTTATGCATCTGCTATCTATATAGCAGATATTTCTATAGCATGAAGAAGGCTCAATTAAAACTTGTAATGAAGTAAGCAAATTCTCCTTAAAAAGAAAAAACACCAACCTGCATCAAAACCACAGATGATAAATATGGCAAGCATATTACATCATAGTTGGAGTGGCCAGGAAAATCACCAGCTTGATCATGGTAGAGTTGTGTCTCAATTTTTTCATTTGTAAAATACCCATTATAAAGCACCTGCCTCCTAGGATTGTGATAAAGATACCCTAGGTGAAGCTCTCTAGGTGAAGCTCTTAGAACAACACTTTGTATATTAAAAAAACCCTCTACAGGCATTAAACAAATCTAGAAAATCTCGTTAGGGCTTATAGACACTGTCTTATAGACATGACTGCTCTGAATTTCATTCCCAGAGTTCTCTCTGTCTCTTTGGTGATGTGCATTTATTGAAAACAGGAAACTTAGAAAGTGAAAATTTTCTGGTTCAACTACTATGGAACTCTTCAGCCACATCGCTCTTATTCCCTCATAACTAGGTAATACAATTTGGATATTTGTCTTCTCCAAATCTCATGTTGAAATGTAGTTCCCAATGTTGGAGGTGGGGCCTTATGGGTGGTGACTGGCTCATGGGAACAGATCCCTCATGAATAGTTAAGCACTATCCCTTTGGTGACAAGTGAGTTCTCACTCAGTGAGTTTGGACGAGATCTAGTTGTTTAAAAAAGCTTGGGACTTCCTTTTCTTCCTCTCTCTTGCTTCCTCTCTGGCCATGTGATGTGCCTCCTCCGATGTTGCCTTCCGCCATGAGTAAAAGCTCCCTGAGGCCTCACCGGAAGCCAAGAGGATGCTGGCACCATGCTTCCTGTACAGTCTGCAGAACTGTGAACCAATTAAACCTATTTTCTTTATAAATTACCCAGCCTCAGGTATTTCTTTATAGCAATCCAAGAGCAGCCTAATATACCAGGTTCCCTTGAAAGTAGCTCAGAATCCTTGGGGTTAGGGAGGCTGGGGAGAGAAATGGGGGATTGTTGAAGGCCCACAACAGGCAGGTGGAGGACAGAGTTTGTGAGAGGTGGGGTCTTCCAGGCTTTAGCAAATCATGGGGAGTTACTGGGGGTTTTTAGAGTAACTCCTGGAAAGTGACCCTGGAATGGAGAGCTGAGCTTAGAGCTTCACCTTCTCTCAGTCCCTGAGAAGCTAACAGTGTGGCTAAGATCACAGAAGATTTTCTCATTGACCAGCAATCCAGGGAAATGGCCTGGGCAGCTGGTCAGTAGTCTAGATTCTAGAATTGATTTAATATTCGTGTTGGTTAGTACTATAGGCACCACCTGATTCTACTTTCCCTTCTTATGGATGAGGAGACTGAGGCCCAGATTGGTAAATTGAGTTGCCCAAGGTCACCAACATGAGTATGGCAAAGCTGAGACTAAACAGTAGGTCTCCTAACTCCACGTTTTGTGCTTATAGGACACATCTTTGAATGAAAGAGAGGGAAATGACTGAGAAAAAGCATGAGGGGCGAGGAGCCTTTGGATTGACCTGTTTCCCCAGGTGTGTTGTCCTAAAATTTCACATCATAAATAGTGATGCCTATTATTTTTCAAATGCTTACTATGTGATTAGCATTTCATGTGTATATTTTATTTAATCCTTATAACACATCATGAGGTTGTTCATCACCATTATTGTTATCCCTAGTGAGGAAACTGAGGCATGGAGAGGGTCATGCAGCTAGTAAGTGACAGGGCCAAGACTAAAATAATGAGTATTGGCAAATCCTATATCATATGACCTTAAGTCTATTTTAAAAGACTCTTTGGAGAGAACCCTGCTCACTTCTCCACTCTGCGCTTCAGTTTGCACATCTGTAAAGTGATGGTATTGTTAACAGATGATCTCTAAGATCTCTGATCAAACTGCTGTTCTTTAATTCATTTTTCTAGTGTTTTGGCTACACACTCTGAGTCACAGTTTTTCTAAGTACTTGTACCCTAAAGTTTGAGAACAAGTATGCAAGACTTTCTATTTATGACACAGTGAGGGTTAAACCACTTGGAATCAAAGGCTAAGAAGTTAAAAGGACAGCCCTCAGTCATCCTGGGATGGTCACAAGCCTTCCAGAACTACTTTTCTAGGCCTCCTTCCACTTATTTTTGCTTTGATGGATGTTGATATTACCGTGTTCCTGCTTAAGTGTCTTGGTACCTCTATTTTGTTTTAGATTAAATGAGGTTTTAACAAGGTTTATGGGGTGATTCGCTTTCATTATAATAACAAATGGATTGAAAACATCCTTCTGTCTCTTTGGAATCCACCACTATTAGTGGATTATAATCCAGCTGGTGACAGAATGACAGGGCGCCAGGAGGCTATCAAAGAATGGGGGAAAAATGTAAAATTTCTTGTGATTTGTCAGCAAGGATGGAAAATCTGAGAAGTTTCAGAAAATGAATTCAAATCTGTGCCTTGATGGTTTGGCTTTCTAGAACAAATCCCTATAAATGTAAAGTGGGATTGGATTGGGGAGATAAGGTACCTGAAAAAACATTTCAAACTTTATGTTTCTGATGTATCACTGGTTGAGAGGCCAGAAAAGAAATTACATGTTTATGTTTATTCTTCTAAAACTCTAAATCATGGAAATAAGTTGAGTAAGCATTTAGAATTTTAGAACTAGCAGGGTTTTCAGCATCAGAAAAAAATTGCAAGTTAAATCAGAGCACGGTTATCCCCTAGGCGGAGATGCTAATCTGGTACTAGGAATTCTGTTTCAAGTCTGTGGAACTCTCTAGGCAGGCAGGAATTTGGAATCTCAGTCCAAGGGGGCTAGACTCTGCTGCTTAGGTCAGATCCTCTGCAAAGGAAACAAGATCATTATCAAAACAAGAGAACAATTTCAGTTCCTATTCCTGATTTCTGCTTAAGAGGAAAACAATTTGTAGAGTGAAGCTGATACTATCATGAGAAAAATGATGTGTCTTTCAACAAACCGCCAATTGAACCTTTTAAAATAAATGACTTCAATAAAGAAGTTGAATGCAGGTCAATTTAGGGAATTAACTAATGACAAAAACAGAGATCACAGAAAGTGATACAGTCCTCAAGCTGACAGATTTGAGATGGAGGTTGCTGTATAGTTAAGTTGCATATGACATGGGTTAGCTACTCCATTCAGAGGGAAAATACAGCAGTCTTAAACTTCAGAAGGCTCAAAACTGAGAAGCCACAACATGATAAGCCTCAAACTGACTTCTTGCCCTCGTTTTTCCAGTGGCCAGCTGTGTGATCTGGGCAAGCCTCTTCTCTTTAGCCACTTCATTTTCTTAATTTGTAAAATGGGGAATTTGGCTAACTCGTCATTTAGATTTCTTTCACTTTTTATTATCTGTATTTTTACTTTAGCTTCAGTGTATGTTTGCTAGCAAAAATTGGAACAGAAATACATTTAAATTACTATATAATGTGTTTGCTGGCAAAAATAGGAACAAAATAAATTTTAATTGCAATTTAATTTTCAAACAATTGAGTTTTCCCCAACCACTGAAGTTCATGGTTATCTCTCTCATCCCCAAACTCCAGAACGTCTGTGGCAGATATTCTTTATTGACACCTGTCAATATTCTAAACAGGGTTATTAGCTCTTTGAAGAGCAAGAATTGTACCTTATTTCATTTTACATCCTGAATGCTCAGTAGAGTAATTGCATATAGTTGGTACCTACCACTATGCTATAGTCTGAATGTTTGTTTCCACTCTCCTCCCCAAATTCATATGTTGAAATGCTAATCCTCAATGTGATGGTATCAAGAAGTAGGAACTTTGGTTGATGTTTAGGTCATGGGGGAAGAACCCTTATGAGTGGGATTAGTGCTTTTGTAAAAGAGACTGGAGAGCTTCCTCACGGTGGAAGCCATCATGAAGCCTTCCTCACAGTGGCCACGTGAGGATGAGGCAATGACCATCTATGAACCAGGAAGCAAGCCTTCACCAGACACTAAATCTGCTGGTGACTTGATCTTAGATTTCCCAGCCTCTGGGGTGATGAGAAATACATTTCTGTTATTGATAAGTTGCTTAGTCTATGATATTTTGTTATACTGATCTGAATAGACTAAGAAAGAAATTAGTACCAAGAGGTAGGGCTGCTGCTGTAACAAATACCTAAAGATGTACAAGTGTCTTTGGAACAGGGTAATGGGGAGAGGATGGAAATTTCTGTGTGTGTGTGTGTGGAGACGTAATGATTATACATGTTTATGTAATGCATGTAATATTTTGATTCATGCATACAGAGTGTAATAGTCAAATGAGGACACTTGGGTATCCATCACCTCAAATAGTTATCACTTCTTTGTGTTGGGAACATTCTAAATCTTCTCTTCTATATATTTCTGAAATATAGAATAAACTATTGTTAACTATAGTCATACTAAGTTTTGAGATGCATGGTAGGGAAAGCTAATATTGCCACATGGAGGAACTTCTACATGTGATTCTGGTGATGGCTCAGAAAGATAGGAGAACTGTAGAGAAGGGCTTAATCTTTGAGATTACCTTAGTAATCATGAACAGATTGCAGGTAGAGATGTGGATAGTAAAGGCCATTCTGATGAGACATTAGATGGAAATGAGAAACACGTTATTCCACAATGAAGAAAAACTAATCCTTGTGACAAAGTGGCAAATAATTGAACTGTGTTCATGTGATGGTGTTTTGTGAAAGGTAGAAGTTGTGAGCAATGAAACTGAATATTTAGCTGAAGTGATTTCTAAGCAAAGTGTTGAAGATGCAGCTTGAATCCTCCTGACTGCTTATATTGAAACACAAAGAGAGAAATGGCTTAAATGTGGAATTATTAAGAAAAAAGGAAGCAGAACATAAAGATTTGGAAAACTCTCAGTCTAATTATACTGGAAAAAAAAAAGAAGAGAACACCAGCAGTGTTGTCAAGTCACTGTTTGATAAGGAGACACATGTAGATTAGAAAACTTAACAGAAGCTAGGAGCTTTTCTTCAAGACAGTGAAAGAATAACCCCAAAGACAATTCAGAGATCATTAAGCTGCTCCCATTACATGCCCAAAGTGCAAGGACCCAGGGTGAAGAGTGGTTTCAAAGGAGGGGTTGCCTGTGCCTATGAGACCTCAGCACATGCTGCCTGGAACTGCCTCACATCACAGGCTCCACTCTTCACACTCTGGCACTGTGCTCTTTGGCCATTCCAGGTGTGGTTCCAGCAGCCCCAGTGTTGTCTGGGCCATAGTGGCTGCCCCTCTGGAGGATTCAGGCAGCAAACTTCCATGGCATCCACGTGGCACTGGTGTGCAGAGTGCATAGGCCAGGCCTAGGGCACATGACTACCTCCATTTAGGTTTCAAAAGATGAAACAGACCAGAACAATAGGCCTATGATGCCATCCCCAGAGAGTGGCAGTGCTGGGGCCCAGGGTGAAAGCTACCTTGGGGCCATTATACTGAACTGTGGGCCACTGTGGGGCCATTCTACTGACGTTGCCACCCTAGTGGGCCTGGAGGACAGAGCATTGAGCCAAAGAAGATTACTCGTAAGCCTTAGTAACTGATAAAGCTTGTCTGGTAGTCTGAACTTATTTGGGAACTGTTACTCTTTAGCCTTTCCTCTTTCTCATTTTGGAATTGAAATGTCTGTTCCATGTGTGTCCCAGCATTGTATTTGGAAGCACATAACTTGTTTGGTTTCACAGGCTCACAGCTGGAGGGAAATTTGCCTCAAGATGAATTATACCTTGAGTCTTACCCATATCTAATTTTGAGGATATTTAGATGAGACTTTGGATTTTGTATTTTGTACTTAAGAGTTGATACTGGTATTGGGATGTGATGAATGTATTTTGCATGTGAAGATATGAATTTGGGCAGGGGAGAGGCAGGGACAGTAGGTTGTAGACTGGATGCATGTCTTTCCCAAAATTTACATATTGAGATCCTAAGCCACAGTGTGATTAGGTCATGACTGTGGAACCCTGATGAATGGGATCAGTGCCCTTATACAAGACACTCTGGAGAGCTTCCCTACTGTGCTTCCATGTGAAGACACAGCCAGAAATTGTCCTCTATTAACAAAAAAGAGGGCCCTCATTAGACATTGATTCTGCTGGCACTTTGATCTTGGACTTTCCAGCCTCCAGAATTGTGAGAAATAAATTTATGTTGTTGGTAAGCCACTCAGTCTCTGGTGTTCTGTTATAGCAGTTGGAACAGACTAAGACAAACCACTACTACCAATATTGACAACAATTAGAAGCAATAATAGTATAATCAATAATAGTTATCATCTATTTAATGCTTACTATGTGGTAGGCATGGTGGAAGCCATTTCATGTACTTCTTTTTTAGGCTTCATGAGATGAGAAATAAAGAGATTGAGCACCTTGCCCAAAGTCACACAGCACGTAAGTAGCAAAGTCAGGATCTGACACATAAGCCAAGTCTGTATGTCTCCAAAGGCACGATCTTACCCACCACAGTGTGCTTTTGTCTTCCAAAATTTCTTAAATAGCTAATTTTAAGTCA